TCTCCCAACCTTTTTTTTCTTTAAAACTGTCATCTTTGAAAATACCTGTATTCTGTCTGATCTGACCTAGACTAATCTCCTCGGACATCAGTTTTTCTAATTTGCTTAGATACCAGATACCAACATCTCAAAGGGAAGTGTCTAACATACAAATGTGAAACACAAATAATAGAAGGAAACCCTATCTTCAGCTTTTGATGACAAACCCTTGAAATATAAACAAACATTTTTTAAACAGTCTGAAAATGCTCAGCATTACCATGTGCTACGTAGCACAACTGTTATTGTTTTCTTTGTCCCTAGAACTCTCCAGTGTGATTTTGGCCTCGCTGAAAGTTCCTTATCTTAATGCTCCCATTGCAGTTTCCCTCCCCTTTCTTATCCATTTTATGGCTTCCTGAAAAAAGTCATGCTATTCAATGAACAATGTTGACACCAAATACAGGTCCAACAGGAACACACAAGAAATGCTTTAGTAAGTTTGCGCCAGCTTGAGATAATGCGATATACTCACAAAAAAGGGAAGGTATTTAATACAAATCTTCCTCCAAGACAGTTCAACTATTTCTTTAAAAAATAATAAATAAATATATGTGGTATCTCTGATACTGCTTCAGTCTGCTGCCTGCCTAGATTATCTTTCTTGCAAATTTAAGAATGGATAAAGTACTATAAAAATCAGCTGGTGTAGAAATCACTATCTATTTTGTAGATGTGCTACTGTACAGCTGTTATCTCCTCAATTGCAGAGGTTTTAACCAAAACCAACCTCTTGTGCAACCAACCAGCTCCAAATGATACACGTAAGTATTGAAAACAATCATGGAAAAGCTAATTAATACAGCCAAACAATTTAGTTAAAAAAATGCAAGGGGAAAAAAAAAAGATGGGAAAAGAACCACATAAGGAGGTACCTAGAGGTAATGGGAATATAAACAAGGAACAGAATATTCATCCTTCAGAATGAAAAAACTACCTTTTTCCAAAATACATTTAAAAACGTTGGGGAAAGGACCATCGCATAGTGTGAGTTAGAATGATCTCACCCAACTTTAAGCATGTAAATAAGTATCTATACTAAATAAGTGTCTATCAGGGTTTCTTGAGAGGATTGTCTTGGGGGTTTCTTGAGTCAATGAGATAGTACTACCAAAGTATTACCAAAACATTTAATATGGATAACAATAATAATTAAAAATGAAAATAAAAATTGAGCAAGCCTCCTACTTTGTTTTAATAAACACAGCTCATTTGCCTTCAGAGCTGCAACTATTTCTGTCAGTTAAGAATCTTGTCCTGTGTCCCAGGGCTCCACTGTTTGAAGTTTAAAACATTAGAGAGAGAAACAGACTATTTCTCAGTCACCACAGGATATCCAACACAGTAAAGATTTTGTATATTCCTCTTAATGATCTATTTCAATACCTATTACTGTGTATTACACAAAAAGCCCTCCAAAAACCATAAACTGAACATATATACACACTACATGGGAAAAAGAAGTAGCTGGAAACTCTAGCAAAGTCGTGATGTGACAAGACCTCAAGTCACTCCGACTCGAACTAACCTCACACTTGACTTAATTCTGTTAGAACCTTATAAAACACATATGTAAATTGCTTCATTATCAACATTCCAGTAAGAAAAACCATCCTGCAGCACGTTCCCCAGACATTTTAATATGGTAACTGCATTAAAAATCAAAAACTTAAATAGCTGAAAAATAAAGAAGAAACCTGGTTTTACCATTTACTGAGCAAATGCAAAGTTATAGAACCACAGTATCTTTTTATTGTGGATTATTTTTAACATTTTAAAGTTTCTTAAGCAATTACTATTTATGTGCCCCTTATCCTAAGGCTTTTAAACAAGCACATGGCTTTTACAATCTTATTAGGTGTGATGAATGCCAACACAGAAGTGCCTTTGCCAGAAAGAAGTGAAAGAGAAGAGCCTGCAGATCAGTCCGAGACTGGTATCACATACATTGATAATTAATTTTTCTTCTCATTTCTTCAGATTAAACCTTTTGTCCTACTGAACTACTGTAGAAGGAAAATCCTAATCTCATGAAGGCCTAAGGCCCAGCTCTCAAAGCCTTTATGCCAAGCACTGTCAATGTTTGACACTACTGAGGATTTCTTGGTCTCCCTCCTTCAGTTTCTTGGGCTTTCTTCCCTCCTGCTCCTGTATCGCTCGGTCCTTTCTCCAAAACTCCATTCCACAAATCGCACTAAAAACTGTCTCCTCCAGGATGACTCTACCACCTTATTTTCTAAATACAATCTGCCTTCTGTTCTCCAAATACTACACCCTCAATCCATCGTCATCATTGCTAATTTTCACATTTCTCAGTTCAAGGGAGACTCCCTTTGGAAGGGTGGTCATTTACGCACTAAAAACCAAGCCACTTCCTTGGCCGAGAAAGCAAGTTCCTATTTCTGAGTTGCTTAGAAAGGAAATCGAGAAATAGTTTCCACAGGAAAGAGCCCGGGATACTGAACTGTTCCTGGAGTTCTTACAAGCCTCAAGTGACTGCACTCACCATCTTCTCTTCCCACGCTGGCTTCTGTGAGGTATTCCTTATTGAGGGCTCCTCCCCAGAAACTGGAAATCTCATCGCGCGGTCCTCAAGTGTGCGGTGGCTTGCAGTCACTTTCCAAACACAAAGCAGGTGACCCTCCTGCGGTCAGACCCCCAGGCTCTGCTGCTTGCTTTTTTGTTTCAATGCCAATCATAGCTGCTGTCAGCTTGCTGCTGTTAAAGGAGACTTTGCCTTTATGTATCACACCACATGGAACACTGCACCTACACCTAAGTGGTTTTCTGATTTCATTTTACTTTTCTCTCTCAAAGGTCGGGGGGGGGGAATCACTTAAGAGACTTTAAAGCAAGAATGCGTAGCAAGAATTTTCCTACAAACTAGGAATTTTGACTGTTTGTCATTTTTTTCATTACTTAAACTGGCATGTACGTTTTTAGCATACAAAAGCTAGCTGGCTTTATTAAAATTTTGTATGAAAAGATACGCCAATAAAATGAATATTACTACCATCCTTTAAAGTGCAATTTCTTTGGAATAACATAAACAGCATCAGAAGGGGGAAGTATTGGGTTGTGGTCTTTCTTACACTGATAAGCTTCAACTGAACTTAATTTCCTCATGCATATAACACTGCTTCTATGCAACATAAACGTAGGTTGCGCAAAAGCTTTCTCTGTTACCAGAGGTGGGGAAAAAAAAATCTCAGATCTGATAAAAATACCTTTCCAACATGAGTCTTTTATTAATAGATATTAATCTTGTTATGATGTCTTCATGAAATAGGCATTTGTCCCGTTTATTCAGCTGTGCCCCAGACCTCAGTGACCCCATTAACAGTGATGGAATTTTGGTACTGTCCTACCCGTTCTTCACCCTAGGCAAGCAGAAGTTATAAAACCAGTGTTTGTACTGAGCTACATTTTTTGTTAGGAAATAACGCATATCTTCATGCGCTGCTCTTGGCAGCAGCTTCCATTCTGAAACAACTGCTATTTTAAGTGTGAGCAGCACATTAATTATTCACTGGAAACCAAAATCTATCCATTTGGATTTGTTGTTATGTCCCACTCACATGCACTGGAACAACTGATGCATTAATTAATGTGCATCAAACCGTGTATTCATGAGAAAAGACATTCTGCTTTTAAAATTAAAAGGTGAATTTCAAAAGATGGAGCAATATTACTCATCTTACACTGTTTTCTGCTTCTGCTGCCAAATGATGCATCTGTTCAAACACAAAGACCCAAATGATTTGGGCCTCCCAGTCAATTATTGATAAGATGCTGATACCCCCACAGAGGAAGTAACTTCCTCAAATATCCTTTGGAGTTTGAGCAAGCACAGTCTAGCAAGAAAGATCACAAATTCTAAAGAAGTAGTCTTTCACTACACGGTTATAAATACTGACACTGGGGTTGGTTAATTTAGAATACTGGCAAAAAAATGTCAGTCCAAACTGACCTGAACTAATTTGAGTTTCAAATCATATAACCTTTCAAAGAATTGAATAAATTATTTATAAAATTTATTAACATTTTGTGTGAAAAAGTACTATATTTGACATTCATTACAATGTGATTCATTGTATGAGATGATTCATCCCATGAGATGATTCTCTGTATATTGTAAAATGACTGAAAATGTTAAAAATGTGAATTTTAGAATCTAAAATATAAGACTTGAGGGAGAAGTTACAAGACGGTAAGCTTAGAGTAACATTCTAGAAGATTTTCAAGAGAATTCTCAAATCAAATAAACTGAGTATTTGTTAAAACTCCTATAGCTGCATTGATCAGCATGCTTCAAAGAGATAAAGAAATCAAGCTACAACTGAAAGTTTATTGAATCCCAAAGAACAAAAAAGTATACAGTTCTGGTATAAATTCCTCATTCCCACCAAATCCACACACAGAATCAACGTGGAAGCAGTGCCACCTGGAAAGGACATACAGACATACAGGCCCAGAATCATCACATCATATACCAGTAAGAGGAAAAGCTGCTGCCCAACTTAACAACTGAAGCTGTTGTGAATTCTGAGCTACACTCAACGTGGTGAGACTTTGCTGAAGCCATCCTGAGCGTGTCTTCACCAGGATGTATCCACAGTTGTACCTCTCCACAGGAAACACTGTGTTTTTTGAAATCCTTATCATGTAACACTAATAAGGTAAATATTAAGCCAACTTTAAAAAATGCTGGTTTTCCCAGTTCCCACCTGGGCCCTCCAAACTCATGATAGCGCACCGTTGTGCTTTCACTCGCAATGGCAATGAGAGAAGGATGTATTTAAAAAAAAAAAAAGGTTAAAAAAAAAAAGTTTTCCTCCCTGGGACAGGGCCAGGAGAAATCACATCTAGTGGAAGACTAGGTTTATTTTCATTGTTTAAAAATCTCTACATAATGAGCTCATCATCTTTGTTCCAGTTTTCTATTTTTTTTGCTCTAAACTTGGGACTTAGTAGGAAACCTTGCAGCCTTTTAGCTAACACATTTTTTTCTTCAGCTACTTCAGCACCAGAGCAAGTCCCAGGAAGCTGCTCAAGCAAACAAAGCACACCTTATTCTCTCCTGCTAGGGTGCAACTATCCTGTGCCCATAGACTTCTCACGAACAAAAAGTCTGGAGTGTATTTTAGGTAGCTTGATTTCTAACAATATCAAATGTTCTTGGTGGCTACGATGCAAACCGTTGGACAAAAAGCTATTGCATGGTTTCCAGACCAGAAAAAAAAAGTCAGAGAAAAAAACAAACATACCCAAAGACAATACAAGTCCCTGGATGTCTCCAATGTCCTCCAACCTTCAGGACTCTTCCTCCTCCCCTTCATTGTCTACTTTAGGTCGGAAATTTTTCCTGTTCTTCTTCTTACTGCAATGGAATCCAACTGTTTCCACCGATGGCTCTTCACCCTCACCACTAAACCTTGCACTAAGCTTACCTTCTCTATTCAGGTCCCCCACCATCAGGCACTCCTCCTCCTCTGTTGCCTTTCCACTTCCACTATCTAAGTGCCCCAGCTCTACCTTATCTTCCTCCCTCAAGTCATCAGTCTTCTTAAGAGATTTTCCTTTCAGATCTGTTTTCATGTGTTTCTTATCATCCTCCCCTGCTGATGTTTTCTTTTCCAGTCCATCAACACCCCTTTTTGCTGGTTTGGTGAAGACAATCCTCCCAGCTCCACAGCTGGAAGGGTCCTGGTTGAAATATGGGGTGTAGCTATCTTGGGTAGCTGAGCTTTGTTCCTCCCCTCTTTTCTTCAAACCCTCTAGAAATTCCATGGCCACTGCCCTGTTAGTCTTGTCACTAGACTCTGAAACTCCATCGAGGCTGTATTTGGTCCAGCGCTCTGGGTGTGCCACATAGTCAGGCACTGCAGGAGAGGTTTTGGGAGCCTGCACTGGTTTGGCTTGCTTTCCCAGGCTTTCTGGAACCATGTTACCTGAAACTGTGGTTGGAGGCAATGGACGCTTAAACCTCCCATCAACAACATTATCTTCAGGCATCGAGGGCACAGACAACTTGGCCGCCTCTTCCAGGCAATCAAAAATGCTCTGGCTACGGAGAGAGAACGTAGAACTCATGCCCCTCAGATGGAATGGCTGGACAGGAGATCTGTGACTGCTGTCTGAAGAGTCGAGGGTCTCCCCTGATCTGCAATCCCCATCATCTACAGATGGCTCCTCAGGAGATATTGTATCAACTTCCGCTTCATCCGCTAACCCTAAATCATCAGAATCAGAATCGCTGAGCGACACTGTGTCTGAGGGCAGAGCTCCTTCGTAGTCTGTTGCACCACTAGCCACTATCCCCAGAAAGGGTTCACCTGCATCCTGATCTCCCATGTTCGAGCTGTCACTCCACCAAGGTCTTGGACGTAGGCCCAGGAACAGCTGCAAATACGGTTTTCCAAACGCCCAGCAAGTTTAATGCCTAGAATACAAAGGAGCATAAAACTTCAACTGTGAAATGAGAACCAAGTATGAGACTATCATTCTGTGCCGTGCAAAATAATTATTACTGCACTATAACAGGCAGCTGTACTTCAGGGATTCCTAAGCAATTTTGCTTGAAATAAAAACATTATTTAATGAATGAACGCACATTAAAGACTTACACAAGACTCAATACAAGAATATGAAGTAATTAAAAATAGCATTGCACACCAAATTTCATTAAAGGTTACAGCAGGTCCAATTACTAAAACACGAGCATAAAGTTTTTGAGCAAATCTGAATACCCCACAACTGCCTTACACATCTTCCAAGAGACAGCAATGACCTCTCCAGATTACACCCTGCATTTGTCATACTGTATAGATCCACAAAACCACATCCTAATCTCTCACACTTTCTTTTGGCCATTACAATCCTTTATTGCATTAGCCACTGTACCTCCTGTCCCAATAATCATCACGTTCTGAATATTATAAAGGCCACTATCACTGATCAAGGTCAGTGGCAGAGAAGCCACAAAAATATCAGGGCCACACTCCTTCCTTGGGTTTAAGCTCTCATGTCATTGTTAGATTCCTGGAATCAGAAAACGAGCCAGCTCAAGAAATCAATTCCGCTGGATTAAAAAAACTAATCGCACGTGCCATGCTTGTGCACAGAAACAAGGGGAGGGTGCAACCAAGGGTCTGCAAGAGCTGGGCCTTCAGTCAGTAAAAAGACACTGTGATCTGAAGCCTGACTTCCAGCAGAGGCTGGAATATCTGATTCACTCTGCCACCTGCTTGAAGGGAACCTTGCAGAACTGAGGTGGTTGATGATCACACTACCACTTGCTGGGCAATCAGACATAGAGTTGGCAAACGCACACTTCAGTTCAACTCACAAAAAAGTGAATTACAGAAACAGTTCTAATATATTATTAGAATAAGCTCAACTACCTAATTATAGGTTCTTCTGAAATGATGCAGTAAACAGACATGGAAAGTCTGTTAGTCACTCACTTTCTCTTGAGACTGAGTCAGCTTCCCCTCCTGAGGGTCAGTTAAAGCCACCAAAGATCTCAGCACTTCCACCCTACAAAACAAACATTTCCATCAAGATACTGGAAATGTAGTTTTAAAATGAGTTTTAAAAATAATTCCTTCCCCCTGAATCATCCAAAGCTGCAGAACTGAGTTCTAAATCTGACACAAACTCATGCTGGTATAAAAGTCTGCAGATATTCCTGGATTTTTGGTAAAAGAACAACACACAGCCTAACAAGGCAGGCACCACTATATTTACTCGATCTCCACATTCACATCGCCAACCTTATTCTGTAGAATAGAAGAGAGGTTTTAAAAAAATAAAACTGTAATTTGAATGTACCTTAAACCATTACTAAATGAACAGTATTAAATGCAGCTAAGAAAATATAAAAATGATAGTCATGTATCGCAAGTACTAAGTGCTGCTAAGTACTAAGACCACAGATACTACAGAGTTCTGTTTACAAAAAAAGGTCATATTCACAGTTAGGGCCAGATCTTCATGAGGCATTAAAACATAGAGAAACTTCTGAAGAATGCAACAGACCAAGTGCTACGTTCCATGTAAAGTCTGGCTGTCTTTGACAAAAGGGATCTGATGACTGCTTTTGAAAACACTGCCCTCAGCGTAACCCCTAAATGAGAAATAATCATCTGAAAATCATACGTTCTTCCACTTAGTTTTATAACACATGAAAACTAATGACTACAATCCAAAAGAGACATTGAAGCACATAACTGACTAAAATAGCTGTTTTCAGATGACAGTGTAAGTGTTCATCACAGGCTGTGAATCAGGGTCTCTCTTGTCTGAGGGCAGTTACACAGAAAGCAAAAATTTTGCTCCTAAGATGTTTTAGCCTTAACAGCGTTAATAGCCAAACATACTGACCCTTACAGCATACCAGACAGACTCACAGGTTTGTTACGGTGATGTGATCACAGCACAACTCGGATAGGATGGTGTCTCTCTGGATGGGAAGGTCCCCATTGGATTCTTCCATTCTGGTCTTACTCAAACAGGCTCTGTGCGTCTTCGTGCAGCCTGTGAGGAAAACAGAGACCCCAGTCACTCCAAACTACGGCCACGAGTCTGCTCTCATCGCAGAAACAGCACTGCAGCAAAGCCTGCCAGCAATCCCGTGCCAATACCACGGTCCTTCGGGACGGTGCTCACACAGGCCGCCACACCAAGGGAGAGAGCAACAGCCCCCGGGCCCTGGCTCACACCTCCAGTGGGCACCCCACCCCAGGGAGGGGGAAACGACAGAGCCCACGGCCTTCTCCAACATCACGGGTGCAGCCCACAGCCTCAGCCGTCCCGCCTGTCCGCCCAGAGCCCAGCTCCATTCCCCGGGCCGAGATCCTGTTGGACACAAACACCTCCCCGCCCCCCGCAGGCTGCCACCCTCCTCTAGCCCCCACATCTTGCTCGTCACGACACAGGGGTGCCTGGAGCCCCCCGCCCCCCGCTCCGCGCCGCGCA